TCCTGGCTCCTCGAAAAGAAGACAAAGGATCCAAAATAGCAACTGCACAGACTGATGACTGCTCCATTACGAAGAAGACTGGCAAGGGACTGACCCCAAAAAAATTAATTTTTATTGACTAGGTGTCGGATCCAAACTCAGGTAAGGATATGGGTTGTCTGCTTGGGACCTGAACCACCCTTGCCAAAGTGGGTTATTAGACAAAAAAGGAACTTACCAACGAGCTCTGAACYAAACAGTGAAAAGCAACATAATGAGAAGGGGCGGAAGTGATGAAGAGAGTTCACTATGAAGACCAGTWGATCGAACGAGAGGTCCTGAGATGCTTCAATTCAGACATTGTGCTACATCAAGAAAAGGATGGCTCAGAAACCGCTTTGAATCGTCTAATGGAGGTACATATTCATTTGTTTTGGAGAATACTTGTTATCATGATTTTCAAAATCATGTGTTATTTTGTGTTCTTCATTCTTATTCTATTTCTAAAGGGTTAAGAAAGGGGTACCTTTTAGAGGAGAGATTTAGACTGAGCAAAAAGGAAAAATTGGAAAAAAAAATGTTATAGTAAGGAAATTGGTTATTACTGTTGTGGACTAAATTTCTAAAACTTTCAATCCCCTTCCTAACCCTTTTGGTATTCGGRGAACAGGAGCCATGGACAATTGCCTCTCGGTGTTAAATGATTATATGTCGGGATCAAAAGGCAGTAAACCTATTATTGTGGATTCTTTGTATGTTCTGTTTGGAAATTTCAAATTGAGTGAAAATAAGAAAGGGCTTGCAATAGTTGACCCTGAACAACTCCTTGGTGTCAATGAGAACCCCAAGACAATTCGAGCAGCAAAAGAGACCCTAAGAAAGGAAAAGCCTAGTATAATCTTTCTGAGTGAAACAAAATGTTCCCTTAGTGTCTACAAAAATAAATTTAGAAATCTCCTTTCCTGGAGTTGTTGGGGTGCGGATGCGGTTGGATTGGCTTCTCTGGAGGTCTGGCTCTGTTCTGGGATAAGAACATTGACCTAAAAGTGAGGTCATTAATCAAATAGTTAGAATCAGAATCGAAATCAGAATGGGGAATTCATTCCAGTAGGAATGTGAATGGGATTTCGATTCTGCTCAATCAAATAGTTGGAATCGGAATAGACCATTTTGATTCTGATTCTGAACCCCTATTCTTGCGAACCAAATGGGGCCTAAGTATAGTAAGGATGTGGTGGATAGGGTGTTGATGAGATTTACATTGAAGTATAGTATCTAGTTGTGGGAGGAGTAGCAGGCGATTTGGGCATTGGTGCAAGGATGTGAACATGGAGGTCATTAATTCATATGGACTCACAAATGATTGCTACCTTAATGCGAGTTCCATCCGACCTCTCCTACACATTTCAAAATAAGTGATTTTTTTTTAAATGGTGGGCAGATTGCTATTAGTCTAGTACAGGAAATTTTCTATACTAAGGGTACGGAGGATGTGATATCCTCCTTTGGGCACCTTGTGCTAAGTAGAAGACGAGGTTCATGAGACTTACAAGGTGGCTAATCATCATTAGGGGTGAGCATGGGACGTTCAGTTCCATGGTAGAACCTAGAACCTACCCTGTAGGGGTTAGTTCCAAGTTTTTGGAACTAGAACCTACCCTGTGAAGGTTGGTTCTGGGCTTGGCAGTTCTAGGGTCGGTCCTAGCTGCCAACGACCTTGCCTCTGAACGGAGCTACAGGGAACCTGAAACGGAGAGGATGAGGAAACTCCGGTGGGAACCCGGTGAGATTGCTCCGAAGCTCAAATTAGAATTCTCTCAAAGGCAAGATAAAACCAGATGGTGGAAAGTTCACATACCTTGTTCTTGGGGGGTAGGGAGCCTTTTATAACCATCTCGTGCACTCACTTCTAAGCTTCTGTCAGATCGGGTATGATTATCTCTGAGCTCCTGCCAGTTCGGGTGTCATCCCCTCTGTTGGACAGAACCGCCACTTCTCTCTGTCGGAGCCGTCTCAGCGACTGGCAATGATAGTGGCAGGTGGCGGTGGCAGGTGGCTGTTGAAATGCGGCTGTCAAGCGTCAGATCCCAAGTCAGTTAGGTGCGCAGCCCTTGGATACGGACCTCCTCGGTGTCAGGTATGGTACGCTTGTTCAGTTCGGCGTCCTGGAGGCGGAGTGCTGGAGTGGTGAGCGAGGTGAAGTCTTGAGTTCGGATAGGGGAGTGTCCCGAACTGCCATGGGGCGGGCCAATTCGGGTTGTTGCCTTGTGTGAGGCTCGGGGCCTAAGGGAGAGTTCGGGCTCCTTGTAGGGAGTTCGGGCTCCTAGTAGGGAGTTCGGACTGCTGGTAGGGAGTTCGGACTGCTGGTTCCTCCCTTCGGTGCTCGCGCCTTGGGCGCGCTGTTGTGCCGAGCTGTTGCCTTTGCCACGTGTTGAGTGATTATGAGGTCGGGCCAAATCTTCCTTCATCAATTGCCCCCCACTCCTCGTGCTAAGGGTCTTGCCCTGGCGCGGGGAGTTCGTGAGGTGGCGGGTGGATTTGTCCCGTACTTCGAATTTTGGTTGACTGATAGCGCGAGGTGCGTTGTCAGGGTTCTTTGGGTTTCTCGAGCGCCCAAAAGGCGGGAAACGCACCGACCTGCCTACAAATGCTGACAGACGTGACAACGCGCGCCTTATTTCAGAAATTCAAAAAGCACGCCGCCGGGAGACGTGACAGTGCGCGCTTTATTTCAAAAAGCGTGCCGCTGGGAGACGTGACAGCGGGGTTGCGCCTGCCTTTTCACCCTCTCCTTGTCGAAGTCATGAACCACTTCAGCGTTACTGTCGGCCAGCTTCACCCGAACTCCATTCGTAACTTGGTGGGGACAATCTCCCTATTTTGCGAACAGGGCTTTCCTTTAGACTTGGAGATCTTCTCTTCCATYKTAATGYTTAAGAAGCAAGCGGGTCCCCTTCCCGGGCGTAGGCGGGCGTATTACCT